GTATTAAACACTGATACTCACTGCCATCCATTTCCAGAACTTTATTGAGTGTAGATATGTTGTATAGACTCTCTCTCTTGGTTGTTGGGTGTCTTCATGGCCTCATATTTGGCTGTTGCTACTTCACCCAAGGGGCTTCTACAGAGGTCTGTGAGCCCCTGTTTTTAAGGCCTTTGTCTGGGGAGAGATGATCTCTCTGAAGAGTTTTATCAGTGTGCAGTCAGAGGGTGTTCTGGGCCAGCAATCCTGGGAGACCATGAAGCGTGTTTGCACACCTGGTGTCAGTTCGTCTCCGTGGAAGACTAGTCTTCATTGTTATTTTCTCACTTGACATTTGCTTTCAGCCCAGAAAGATTACCTTCTGTTTTCATTATTGTATTAAGTCTGTCTCCAAGATCAAGGGAGATCTGATTTGTCAACTCCAAAGGCTACTTGAAGTCCCCCTCTTAGGGACTGGTGAGATGTCCCATTTGGTTTCCCACATAAGTGCCTGGGGTGTGTGTGGCCCATGTCTAATCCCAGTACTCTAGGTTCAAGTAGAAGACCCTGCCTCCATGTATAGAAGGTGGATGGTGATTGTAGACTTCTGACATCAACACACATCCACCCAAACATGCGCACACTGACAACTTGTGATCATACATGCCAATTTGGCCCCAGTTCTTTCCCAACAAAGAGTCACTAGAGAATGCACAGCACCTGGCCTCCTTTCTGGGCCTCTAGTTGGCTTATTCTTCCCTTTCCCCACTGACCAATTCCAACTTCTTCCATTTTCTTCTACCATCATTGACTCCCGTTTCCTTGTATTAGAAAACTGCCTTGTCTTTTGCTTCATAGATAAAAGAGAAACTTCCTGAGGCTGGCCCCTTTAATTTAATAAAACTGCCCGCACTTGTTCCTCACCCTGACCTTGTTTTGTTTGCTCCTTTCCCTTGTCTGTCTTCTGCTCTCTCCGCTCTCCTTTAGTGTTTTCTGGTTAAACCCTGGTCGGCCCTCCTTGTATGGGTGGTGAGCTCCACCCTCTGCCCTCTCCTGCTCTTTTTGAATTGCTTCATGTACCGGCTATTCTTAGTTCCTTATTTACATAGTTTTCTTCTCAAAGTTTTCCTAAGTTAGCAAAAGAGAACAAACCCATACCTCAGCCTTCACTCTGCTTTTTCTAACTCTTACATCCAGGTACTAGTCCCCACCCCAACCCTGTTGTTCCTCGTACATCTCTGTTTCCTCTTTGCTGTATCCCAGAGTTCTCTTGTCCCCTGTGCACCTGCCAGGGGAATTTAGTGTCTGCTCCTCTTCCTCCACATCTCTCTTTTTCCTGTTGTGTCTACAAAGAGCCTGTAGTATAATACCTCCAGTCCTGTTCCCCCATCATCAGCACCTGCATCCCTTCAAGACACACTCTGAAAAACAAAAGCACAACAATAAACAAACCTGCTTCCTGTTGGATCCATCTCAATTATCTTTTTGACATAAGAAAAGGGCTGTAGAAAATGGGCCAGGGGGCTGCGGAGATGGCTCAGTGATTAAGAACACTGATTGCTCTTCCAGAAGACCAGGTTTGATTCCCAGCACATACTTGGTGGCTCTCAACCATCTGTGATTCTAGCTCTAGGGGATCCTACACACTCTTCTGGTCTCTGTAGACCCTGCTTGTACATTTTATACATGCAAGCAAAACACTCACATATGTGAATTAAACTAAAAAAAAAATCGCCAAAAGTTTTGGGTTTTGTAGCTGTTTTGTTCTCTTCTTCTCCTCCTCCTCCTCCTCCCCCTCTTCCTCTTCCTCTTCCTTCTCCTTTTCCTCTTCTTCTTCCCCCTCCTTCTTCTGTTTTTTTTTTTTTTTTTTTTCCAGACAGGGTTTCTCTGTGTAGCCCTGGCTGTTCTTGAACTCACTATGTAGTCCAGGCTGGCCTGCTTCTGACTCCCAAGTGCTGTGATCAAAAGTGTGCACCACCACTGCCTGGTTGTTCTTGTCATTTTTTTGAGTTGAGATTTATACTTGGAAAACTATCAAAGTCCTTAATTCTACCCTTCAAAATAATCATGAATTAAACATGTTACTTTAATAAAATGTAACCAAAGCAAGTGCAGAGATTAAATTGTCTTTTTAGAAATAGGAGTTTATCTGATTGCTTGAAAGTAATTCTTTTCAATTCCTCAAATTAAGATTTGTGTAGTCCACTTTTCTTTCTTCACTTTTCCAGTTCTTAGTAGTTTTCACGTTGGTAATGTTTGAGTTAGAGTTGGTAGATCCTAATGTCTGGTTGAGTTAGGTGAGCCTTTCTGGTTCTGGTAAGAATCCTATCTAGTCTCCATTTTGTGAGTCTGTTGGTGTTGTGGAGAATATTTTGCCTTGAAAGTTATCACATGGAAGACTGTTGAGGAATATTTGTTCAACTATGTAAACATGTGTTGCATTTATGTTGCAGAATATTTGTTGAGCTATGTAAAGATGTGTTGCCGTTTTACCTTGCTTGTCTATGGCACCTGATTGGTCTAATAACAAGCTGAATGGCCAATCGCAAGGGAGGAGGTATAGGGAGAACTTCCTGGCAGAGAGAGTAAGAAGGAGGAGGAATTTAGGCTGGCGTAGGGGTGGGGGAAGAAGGAGGAGGAGGAGATACCAGGGGCCACCCAGACATGGAAGAAGCAGGAAAGTAGGACACACAGAATGAATAGAAACAAGTTAAATTAAGTTAAAAGTTGGTGGGATAAGCTTAAGCTAAGGCCAAACATTCATAATTAATTAGTTCCCATGTCTTTATTTGGGAGCTCGTTGGCAGCCCAAAGAAAACCCCAACTGCAGAAGACACACGTATTGATGGTCATCCTCCTTATTGAGAGATACAGACATGAAGTCTCTTCCTGTTTCAGACTATACTGGTTTAAAGGTATTGAGAGCTTCCATTCAGACCATCCCATTTTAGGCTAAATATACTACCTCGATAAACATAGGGGTTATTGTAATATTTCAGCATATCTCATTCGTTTTAATGGATTTTTTTTATTAAGTCAAAGTTTTCAAAATTTAGGCACCAGTCCTAACTTGTCTATAGCCACACATTTAAGTAATTAGATTTGTGTGGGGTGTGTGTGTGTGTGTGTGTGTGTGTGTGTGTGTGTGTGTGTGTTGCTGGGTATTGAACCCAAGGCCTTAAGCATGCTAGATAAGCATACTTTTATTTTCAAAAAGACAATGGGAAGATGATTCTTTTTCAGTCCTGTAAGTTTAAAAATAACACCCTTGCACCCAGACACTCACTACTTGGGAAATAATAGCCTGATCCAAACAACTCTCCTACAAAAAAAAAAAAAAAAATTAAAAATTAAAAGTAGAAAAAATCTGTGTGTGCTTGAATATTAACCAGCACTCTCTTTCGAAAAGCACTTTGTCTTTGGATGTGGGAGAGGTCTTACCACCACATGTTGGTCTTTTGCACCATAGCAAATCTTGCTGTATTATTTTGCTTCCGGTTAAGTCTATGATTGTTGTAGTTTTTCTTTTCTATTAAATTACTTAAAATTTTGTTTTTCAAGATGTTGAAGTTTTTGAAACATAAAAGCTTTTGTAAGCAAAGTCTCTTCAGAATGAAGAGACCAAGGGACCTCACCCACAGAAAACAAGCAAAACACACAGTCTTCCTGACGACAACAGCAATGTTGATAATAGCAGATCTGAAATGGTCTGAGAGGAGCAGAGAAACACAAAGCTGAGCACAAGCCAGGCAATGATAAATAATGGGAGAGAGCCTGCTTCAAATATAGGATATTCCAAAGCCCCTTTCAAGCAAGGCTGCCTTTCCTTGCAGTTTGTGCCATTAATGGAGTGTATATATTTGAACATTTTGTGTTAAGATATTGGCCTGTAACCTCCTTGATCGGGTTATCATTTACCTTTTAATATGCAATGACCTTTCCACTTAACTGGAAATTTTTTTACTGAATAAAAAGAATTCTGATGTTTTTCTAAAAGGCCATGTTCTAAGTTTTCAGCTCTCATTTCACAAAGTAGTTTTTAAAAATTAGTTTAGAAGTAGAGATTAGAGACACTGAAGTGTTTCCTACTATAGATCCCCCTCCACTAGAGAAATGGATCATAAATGTTCAGGTGTTTGTTTATACCCAGTTTTATGTATCTGCCTTTCAAAATAATTATAATCTGATTGTGAGTTTAAGCTGTAAAATTATTAGAAGATGCCAGTTGAAAAATATACTAAGATAATTTAAAATTATAAAATATAATTATAAATTATATAAATTATATAAAATTATAAAATATAAAAATAAAAAGAATAAATTCGTTTTGGAATTAAACAGTTCCTCTTTCACTATCAAATGCCTACCTAGCCTCCTCTTAAGCAAAAACAGATAGACTAAAATAATGTAGAGTGAGTTGTCTTAAAAATGGAATGCACATGCCTGAATTTGAATAGATTGAAGGATTACAGCACACATTGTTTTTTTTTTTTAGATTAAATGTAAAATGGGCAAGGCTCGGATGTGAGAGTATTTAAATGTTTCTCTGAATTTTCTGGTTCATGTGTTATGATATTGAAGTCTTTAGTTGTGGGCTTTAATTTGAGCCTGGTGCTGGCCTGATGCTCTGGAGGGATACTCACGGCATCCCTGCATTCAGTCCCTCTAATTATCCAACGTCCTGGGGAGCTTGCTCAGAACTGTGCATGAATGTGCCTGTTATTAAAATATCGGGCAACTCTGGATCCACGTAGCGAGGTCATTTTTGATATCAGATTTATGCATGGATGAACCGAAGAGGGGATACAGGTGTGTTACAGAAATTCCTTAGTTAGGCAGTGGGTGAGGCATCCGTAATGAAGTCTTGGGTAACACAGACCTTGAGCCTTTTTTTTTTTTTTTTTGTGTGTGTGTATTCGAAAAGAAATTCGATTCTCTGGGTAACTGTGAAACAATCGGTTTATGGGTGGTTGTAATTCTTTTCAGAGAGCATCTGTTAACGCAGGGATTTGTCGCTTTAGGTTCACGTGAAAATGGCGGATGAGGCTGTCTGTGTTGGCCCAGCTCCCACCAGTCAAAGCTACCTCAACATGGATGCCATCATGGAAGCCATTAAGACAACCAGGGCCCAAGCTGTGAGTCTGAATGAACCTGTCTTCCGCAGCTGTCTCATATGCAGCGAGCAGAAAGCTGGAGTTTGTATTAGAAAACATAGAAAGAATGATTGAAAACGCCGTTGCAGTTAGTGTGTGTCTCATGAGTTAAATGTGGCCGATCCGCTACTGGAAATCAAAGGCTTTGTAGCATCTGGCAGTGTTGGTGGCTGATGCCGCAGGTGGCTGCTGGGTTCAGCTCTCACACCAGGGAGCGGCTTCAGTTCAGTTCCACATTTGCCAGGAAGAAAGAAATCCCAATTAGTTTTGAGTATTAACCCTTTCAGTGTAATAAGGGCATTAAGAACAACAACAACAACAACAAAACAAAGCCCCAAACTTGTGTGATATAAGCAGGTTCTGGGAAGACTTTAAATTTCAATCTAGTCATTTAAAAATCGTTCACACTCATTTGCATTGTTAGAAATGAAAACAGTGTATTTGGTAATTATCTCAGTTTTGTTAGTGTCAACAAAATGCTAATAGCATACACTGGTAAATCCTTTCTCCCCACCCCTAATTTTTTGTTGGAAGGAGTGGAATCCAAGAAAACAACAATAAAAAACTAGTTTCTGACATCAGGTATAGTAATTTTTGATTTTTGTTTTTTAACCAGAGAACTGACTGTACATTTACTATTAAAAGCAGAGTCATCAACACAGTTGTGTGAAAACAGCCAGCACCTGGCACCATCCTGGATGGACTTCCTTACTGCTCTGCTCATTTCTTTAGAAAGAAATACTTAAACAAACAAACGAATGAACGAACAAACAGGAAAACCCTAGGCTATGACTCTATATTGTCATATAGATGCTCACAGCATCTTAGTGTTTTTAACAGGAGAAAAATGTGTAATGCCACTTGTCAGACACACAGTTTCCCTGGTATTTCCCATTCAAATGAAATGGTGGGGTGAAGGTCTTTCCCTATTGTGTAGTGTTTAAATTATTCTATACCATGTCCAAGTCACTTGGCTTGGATTCAAGCATCAGATTTGTGGTTGTTTTGGTTCCCAATTGCCTCCTTCAGGAATCTGACTTTCCTTTTAGTATTTTACTATAAATTGTTCCAACACTGACTGATGTTGGTGTGACTTAGGGTTGACTGTGTAATAGAGTGAAAAATGACTTGACTGGGACACAGGTTAGAGTGTACACTCTGCCTGGTAGGGAAGATAACATAGAGTGATTTGAATGACCAAATTTGGAGTGAGGAGAGAAAGAACAGAAACCAAAAAGGAAAATTAATAGTAAAACAACAAAGTAAAAGTTGAGCCAAACCTCAAGTGCAGTTTGACAGAGGTTCTAGGGAGTGTTAGAACACCTTCTGCTATTGGGAATAAGATGTACTATGTGGCTTAGAGCTTGGCCTCATCCACCCATCTATCCATCCATCCATCCATCCATCCATCCATCCATCCATCCGGTTTCTCTACCTAGTGCTGGCTGCCCTGGAACTCACTATGTAGACCAGGCTGGACTCAAATTCCAGAGATCTGCCGGCCTCTGTGAGTGCTAGGGCTATAGGCTTGTGCCACCACATCTGGCAAGTATGGCCTTTATCTCTAAGAATGGCTGGCTGTTCTTGAAGTTTTCATCTATTTTGCCCCAAGTCTGTAGATCATAATTCTCTGACCCACTAGCCCTTGTGAAGTTCTCTAAACTTGTTGACCAGCCTCAGGATAAGTCAAGTGAGTTTCTGTTGGCTAGAGTAAACAAGTGCAGCTGGGCAAGACGTAGCTGCCCGGAGACAGAACAAAGGAGGAATTTATTCTCTACTCAGAGAGGTGCAATAGAACTGGTCAGTGAGGAAGTCACCTTCAACACACTGGAACAGTGAATACCTTGTGGCTCAGGCAGATTGACAATATGATAAAGTTAAAAGAACCTTTCCTTTTCATTTCTCAGGTACACCCAGGGTATGGATTCCTGTCAGAAAACAAAGAGTTTGCAAGGTGCTTGGTAAGTCTGTAACAAGCCAGAAATGAGACAGAGCTGTTCATTATAGAATTCTAATTGATTTACTGACTTCTTGATAATTGTTAAAAAGTGAATGTTTTCATTCTGTAATCCAGGCAGGTCTTGATGAGCAACTATAAGAATGGAAAAGAGCCAGGCGTGGTGGTGCACGCCTTTAATCCCAGCACTTGGGAGGCAAAGGCAGGCGGATTCTCTGTGAGTTCAAGGCAGCTCCCCCCCACCCCCCCAGTCTACAGAGCGAGTTCTAGGGCAGCCAGGGACACACAGAGAAACCCTGTCTCAAAAAAACCCCAAAACCAAGCAACCAAACAAAAAGAATTAGAGTCACCACTCTGATCAATTTGTTACATTATTTGATCTTTGAGTTTTAAAATAAAAAATTTCAAATTTTAAAATGTAAATGTGGGCTTGGTGGTTAAGAGAATAGATGCTGTTGGAGGAGACTCAAATTTGGTTACTAACATCCACATTGGGTGACTTATAACCTCTGGTAAATCTAGTCCTGCAGAACGTGATCTGCCTCTTCTGGCTTCTGTGGGCATTTGGAGTCATATACACACACTTTATGCAGACACACATGCATACACATAGTTAGAAAATAAAAACGAATCTTTAGGTAAATAGGTCAGGTTGTTCATTGACTTGTACAGTTGTTTATTGTTATACCACGAGCTTGGAAAACTTTTGTGGTCTGAGTGTTACCCTCATAGCACTGTCCTCATTAGGTAAATGAAACTATATTTGTACCAAACTAACTTTTTAAAGATATATTTATAATTATATTCAAGATGGCACTGAAATCTAAGGTTTTTAGGAACTAAAATATGATTAATTAGTGTTAAAACTGTTGTGGTGATCGGGTCAATTATGTCAGATACTAAAATATCTTATTCTAATCTGCTAGACTTCTTTTCCCCCACTTTGTAACTTGTATTTTATTCTTTGGAGCATTGCTTTATGAGTGTAGTTTTCAGTTTCTAGATGAAACTCAAAACTGTCTAAATTTAAGTTGGAACAGTGATTTAGATTGCAGAACTATAGTCTAGAATGTTTATAGTAACTTAAACTCAAATGTTCTCACATAATGTAGTCTTTTATATTTACATTTGTATAGATAAAATGTTGGAAAACATTTGGGAGACAAATGCATCCTGCTTTTTATAAATAAAGTTTTATTCAAACCCACTCATGCCCCTTCATTTATATATGTGTCTATGGCTGCTTTTGTCCTTGACAAGAGAGATGACTGACCTGCTAAGCCCTAAAATACATGCCATATACTCTTTTTGGAAGTTGGTAACTCCAGGCATAGATGAATTATTGACACTCAGGAAAGTTAAATGATATGGCCAGTGTGGTGATTCACGTATCTAGTCATTGTGTTGGTGTCTCTATTGCTATGATGAAACACCATGATCAAAAAGCAAATTGCGGAGGAAAGGGTTTACTAGGTTTACACCAGGTGTAGCAAGCATTGTTGTCGGACTTTCTTGGACTGCCAGCCCACAAACAATGACCTGGAGACTTATTATTAATTACAAAAGCTTGGCCTTAGCTTAGGCTTTTTCCAACTAGCTCTTATAACTTAATTACTTAACTTAATAACTTAACTCTATTAATCTACGTTCTGCCACGTGGCTTGGTTACCTCTGTTCTGTAGCATATGTTCGACTTCTTCAGAGTCTCTGGCAAACTCTGTGTACCTGGGTTCCTTCTCCTCTTCCTCTCTGCCCAGAAGTCCCACCTACACCTCCTTCCTTGCTATTGGCTATTCAGCTTTTTATTATACCAATGACAGCCACACAGATGCACACGGTGTACAAATATCCCACACCATTTCCCCCTTTTTGCTTAAATAAATCGGAATTGTTTTAACTCTAATGCAGAAAAAACTATATACAGTAAGAACAATTATCATGTAAGACTTACATTCACAATGTTCAGTCCATTTGAATTTGGAGAAATTACTCCATTATCTATCCTATCTTGGTGAGTCCAAAGTTTTATACCTAAACCATTTTCTATCACAACTTGTATCATCATCCTAAAAATAACTTTTCAGATCTAAAAACATCTTCTTAGATAAACAACTTAAGCTTTTATGTTTCTCAACCTTATAAACTTTACCTCTTTTTTTTTTTTTGTCTGAATTTGGTAACAAGGAAAACTATATAACTATCTAGTCTTCAATCTCCATCAGAGACCCAAGAAGGATAAAACATTTCTTGAGTAAACAGGAAGTGTAGAGCAAACTTTCAACTTTCAAAACTATAGGGACCACAGAGACATTTGGCTGTCTGGACAGTCACCCACGGTTCCTCTGCAATGTTGGGGCGTCCGTCTTTGGCCTGCAGGCTCAGAGTATCTGATGGAATTTTCTGTGAAGCAGGAATTTTGAAGGGCGGTCCCTCCTTGTCTTGGCAAAGTTTGGCAGCTGCCTTCTTTTATGTTCTGCTTGTCCAATTTGGAAAGCATACTGTCCACTAATCAAGGCGAGGGCAATTCCTTGCCCAGTGGCTAGCTTTGCCACAATGAAAGCAAACTCTATATGGAGGTTCTTCAATACCCATCATCCTTTTTTGAAGTAAATTGTTGCTGCCTGGAGTAGATATGTCTCCCTGTCATGAAAAGCCTTATGTTATTAAAACATCTTAAACACCATATTCTGTAGGTCTCTGAAGTATTTAAAGACCATCTATCTAAAATGTTCCTGTTTGACCTTTAAAACATACCTAACATGGCTACACATTTGATTGTTAGAGATGACTAACTACTAGTTAGTTAGTATTTCTTAATTATCCTAAATAGCTTTCAAGGACTAGACTTTTACATTACATTTTTAAATGAGCTGCATAGGTACAATACCTTAAACAAGAGTAGAAACATATATACAGTATGTTCTAACCAGAAATAACCTTAAATTTGCATTAATACATAAAAATCCATATGCAAAATATTTAAGATTAGTAGTTTCTTTTTTACTTTAAAAGTAGATTCAATAATCTACCCTTTTATCTTATCATATCCCCTTTTTTCTTTTCAGAACAAGATCCTGAATCTAATCTCTTTTGCTTAGCTTTCTCTCTTACCATGACCAACAACAACTTGCAACCAACCCCCCCAAATGATGATAAACATCTGTAATCCATTGAACAACCAAAAACCACCCATCCCATCTCTTAGGAATGTGGTCATCATGTTCTCTAGACTGCTTTTTGTTTTCTGTGGGTGATGGCATCTCTAGTGAACCCTGAGAAAATTGAGATAATGGTCTAGTCCTGGGAGAGCTAGCTGTATTATTTTTTGTTTAGTCTGTGTGTGATGTGAAAGTGTAGAGCTTATCTGACTTCTTGTCTGGAGTAGTTTGTGAGGCTGGAGCATTTCAGCTAGCAGCTTTGTTCTGGTTGCAGAATTTTGCAGACTCTGTAACAGAGGCATTTTGAGACTACTTGTTTTCATTTGTGTGCAGTTCATTTTTTATTTCTGAAAGCACATAAAATTTTAATGGTGACATATATGTCTGTATTAACACAAGCATGGAATGTGTGGTGTGCACAGTCAGCTGAAGAAGATTTTTATGTTTGAACAGGTAAAAGGCATTTGCTAACTTTATAAGTCTGTTTGGACTGATAACCAAATGAAAGGGTGGCAGGTAATAATAAGTCATGAGGACTCTATAGCTAACAAGATTTATCATGTCTCATCCAAGTCACAGAGCTGTTCCCATGTGGAGGGATCAACATATACATCACCTGTCCTGTAGTTTTTCTTGGCTTTTTCCCTTTATGTCTGCAGCTAAGATTTTCAGGAGGTTTCCCCAATCAAATCTAATCTTCATTAATTTTGAAGGCATCCATAGCCTTGAAACAATAGCACCTCTCCCCTGATGCAACACATTTTTTGACTTCCATTCTGAAGATAAGACCTTCTTAAAATAGATAGGTTGGTTTAATTTAGCAGTGTCCATAATCCAATGTCACTCAGTAGCTATTGCTTTTTGTTTATTTGCATTTAAAAAATTCAAAGTCAACAAAGCACCACACAAGATCCAGACATCCTGTGTATTTCTCTTATGTAGCCTTTTTCCTTTTTTATTTCTTTACTCTCTTTTTGAATGCTGTATTATTTTAAACTATTTCTTGTAGAGTGAGTAATAATTGGTATTAATAATAAAAACCCAGAGACAGATATTGGGCTTAAAGCTGAAGATCAGAGAAGTGACCTCTACTAATGCTCAGACCAAAGGGGAGATCCGCCAAACCTCAGACTGCACTTCACTGCATCGCTACTCAGATTGCCTCCCCACCAAACCTCAGAATGCAATGTGTTCCTACCTCCTCCTGCCTTACATTCTTTTCTCTGCCCAGCCATATCACTCCTGTTTTCATCTCCCTAGTGCTCGGATTAAAGGTGTGTCATCCCAAGTGCTGGCTGGGATCAAAGGTGAGCTCTGTTACCTCTTTAGACTTATTCACTCTCTTTTAGCCCAGGGTGGTCTTGAACTCTTAGAGATCCATCCTCCACTGTCTCCTCCTCTGAGTGCTGGGATTTAGGTGTGTGCCATCACTGCCTGGCCGCTATGTCTGTGGCTAGCTTTGCACTCTGATTTTCAGGGAAGCTTTATTTGTTATATCAGATGCACAATATCACCACAATTTATTTTTTTATGACTGTCTATACAATTTTCATTTGTTTCTTCAACAACTGAGCACATTTTATAGCATACTGTATCTTTTTAGAGGTGTGTGTGTGTGTGTGTGTGTGTGTGTATCTGACTATGTCTGTGTGTCTGGAGCTGGCTTTATTAAGGAAGGGCCTATAGTGTTCTCTGACTGCATGAGACAAACTATTAGATGGCAGTTAGGCCTTCTGCCTTGTGGCTATGGCAGCTCGGCAGCAGCCAGGAGCTGTGAGCATCTGCCTGCCTGAGAGACTGTGGGACTAGCAAGCCATGTTTGGTGGGCTGAGCAAATAAATCATCG